GATCCCTGGACGTCTTCACTGCACTGATTCTCAAGCGTGAGAGTGAACTGGTAAAGCAGATTGAGAACAAATGATTTATTAGGTAGAAATTAAAACTACTCCATGTAAAGGAAGCTTTTTGAAAGAAGAAAAGATTATTATTTTCAAAATATACCACTTCTAGGTGAAATAAGGTAGATTTGACAATATAGACAGCATCATAGGTGTTCTGAATCTGAATGAGTACATTGGGAAATTGAGCACAAACCTGAGAAATACAAGACATGATAGGAAAACCTGTGATAACCTAAGAAGTAATACTGTGGTTTTTATTGTTTCTTGGTGGTTTTAAGAGATGAGACATATATTTAAAAAGAGGAAAACAAGGATAATTGCTGAGATCTTAAGAATGGGGTATGTGAAAAGATTGAATTTCGTAAAGAAGTATAATACAGCTTTTAAAATGGAAAGCAGAGCATAAAACTTGGCATGTACAGTTGTAGGTGGTGGTAGATTCAGTGATGAGAGACTGAATATTCTCTTTGGATCGTATCTATGTATTCCATGAAATAAGGCCATCAGGTTGTGAATGTGCTGTCATCAGGGAGATTAGGTAGGGCTGAGGCTTCCAAACTTGTGATTTAACCAAGTAAATTCGAGTCAGAACAGAGTAAGAATTATATGCAAAGAGGCAATGTTAATGATTGGTTATAACATTTGAGGTTGGAAAAAGAAAACTGAAAATAACAGACATAGGGGCAACAGTAAATAGAAGGAAGGGTTCATGAATTTTTGGTCTTGAAGGATTGCTCACCCATAATATCAAAATGAGTAAGCTACAGTGGAAAGTGTGTTAGTATTATCTCATAATATGTGGAGAAAGAGTTTTCATAATACTTAAAGATTAGATTCTGGAAGCATAATATTTTGGATCTGATTCAGACTTCAATAATAGCTAAAATTGGAACAACAGACACTGTACCATTGTAACTCAATTTTCTCATCTTTGAAATTAAATAGTGAGCATTTCCTTAATAAGATTCAAAATCACATCTGCCATGGAGTTAACACATATTTGCCATTACCAGCACTATAGAAAGGTGTGTTATCAACAATGGCAAAATATAGAGTACAAGTACTTAAATGAGTAGATAAAGTAGGTTACAACGCAAAGTCAATGGTGAAGAATAGGTTAAGAAATTGAGTGGGTACAATAGTAATGGGAAGGGGGACTGCCTCTGAGATAATCAGATAGGCCTGCTCTTTGATCACCTGCCCCTGAGGGGAGAGCAGTCTTACCAGGCCACAGAAGATGGCAATGCAGCCATTCCTGATGGGATCTGATAGACTAAGTTCAGAAGGAAGGAGAGGGGGCCCTCCCCTATCAGTGGACTTGGGAGGGGCAAGCGAGAAGAAGGGGGGAGGGGAAGGCTAGGAGAGGAGGAGGGAGGGGCTTATGGAGGGATACAAAGTGAATAAACTGTAATTAATAAAAAATAAAAAAGATATAAAAAAGAAATTGAAAGGACAGAGTTATTGGAAAATCATATGTGTAGACATTACTGGAGTAATAAGCTATATATTGAATATTAGTAATTTCTACTCACTTACATGAGCTGCATGCTTCTAATCCCAGCTACTAGAGATACTGAAACAGGAAGATCATGAGTTTCTACTGTTTTGTGCAGTGTAGAATCTGGCTTTGAAAATTCCTACTCCATGACTTGGAGGATGATTTTTGCTGGTTAGTGGTAAAGGCAGCAATTGTATAAAATTAGTGACAAAAAGTACCAAAATAAAATATTGATGGCATTTATTATGAAAACAATTCCTTTTAAGGAATGCTTTTAAAGATTAATTTAAAGGGATGTTTTGAATTTAAAATTTTAGTCCAGGGGATTACCTTAGTTGTAGTCTTTTTTTTAGCATGAGTGAAGTCAAGAACAGCATTAAGAGCAACAAATTTCATACTTAATTGTTATTACACAGCTTTCCATTTATACTTCTAGGGTATTTTTAATCATCAACAGAAGACTTTTCAACAAACTAGAATGCTTCACACTGACAGCCTGAAAACAGTTAATCAGGCAGATGATGAGTTCTTAAAGGTATGTCATAAATTTTAATGTCATGCATTCTCTTAACACATTTTAAAATTTAACCTACTTTCTATTATGAATAAGTGACTGTGAATGAAGTGATAAGTGATTTGGCAGATTTTTCAAAATTTTGGCAAGGAATTATTCAAAACAGGAAATATTTAGACTTTTTTTATTAGAAATGTGCCTGTGCTTCAAATGCATAATATATTCTCGTCATAACTATCTGTCTTTGTGTATCCAGTATTTGCTAAATAAGGAAATGCTTAGTTGATATTGCCCAATCTTTTTGTTTCCAAATGTATTATAGAAGCATTTCATTATATAATAGATTTTAAAATAATTACAGGCACCAAAGTAATTTCCTATAATCATAAAAGAGAGTCTAGAACAAAGAAGGTGTGGGTTAAAATTCATGGACTGAAGAAATGGCTCTGCTGTTAAGAGTACTTGCTGCTCTGTCAGAGGATTGGAATTTGCTTCCCAGAACGCACATCAAGAAGCACACAAGTCCAGCTGCAAGACATAGCACACTCTTGCTAGCCTCCATGAACACCCACCTACTTGTGTGTACAAGTATAGACACACCCACATAAATAAATGATAAAATTTTTACAAAAGTTATAGAGTTAAAGGATTTTATATAAGTAGATAGGCATATCAAGGTCCAAACAGTAGTTTTAAGACACTTTGAAAGAACTTTATACTCATTTCTATAAACATCAAAGAGCGAGTCTTAAGTCCAATTAGAGAGATGTTATTGCCAAGGTTTTCATGCCCCTACTCCACCTTTAGAGTTATCATGCCATGTTGGCAGTTGTTGTGGTTCATGTTCCCTCTGGCTAAGTAGGACTATTGGTTGCCTACCTCCTTTTGAAACTTTTTTACCACCTTCTGGTACCATGTAAGCTAGTTCCCAAGTAGGAGACTTTCAGGTCAGTTACAGCTTGGGTCCTCTGGGTCTGGGCCCAAAGTGTGCGAAAGAATAGTTGAGTTTTTAAAAAATCAATTTGTATATTTAGCAAAGAATTGGTTAAATATTGTCTGCTATGTAAGCTATCTAAAACATTATTTTCTGCAAATATAATCTGTAACTTCCTGTTCTATAAGATCCCTTCCATTTACTACATCTACTCATTAACCTCATCTCTGTACATAATTGCTTTATGTAAACCCACAGGCGATGGACTTCCATTCTTTGGATATATTCTTTCCTTAGAATGTTGTTAATTCCCATATTTTTGAAACCTTATTCTTTTGCCAACCTACTTGGAATTGCCCCGTTTTCTACACTGTAGCTAAAAATTGATTTATTTCCATTCCATTTATGAAGTGTTTGAATAATTTTGTTTGCATGGGTTTTCTTTTTGCATTGAAAGTTGTGAGCTACTTTGTCATTTTTTTAAATTCTCTCCACACATTTACATAACAGTACACCTTAAGTACTAGGCAAAAGTAACGTGTTAGTTAATTAACTTAATTTTTTCAATAGATATGGGAGAACGGGCAAATGATGCCAGTTCTGGGAAGCCTGAGAGTGAAGCATGTGAAGATGGAGTGTAGCTTGAGCTAAACACTATGATCATATAAAAAAAATATGTACCAAATTGTAGTTTTTGTTTTATATAGCTTGGGAAAAATATTGTAATACAGATCATTTAATTATCATTCACACTGACTGTTAATCATAGTAAACCATAAGCTGATATTTGAGAACCTTTTAAAAAGTCATACGCACTAATTCCACTTTTGGATTTTCTAGTGTTTCCAATTCTACACATTTTTGTTCTTTCTCCCTTTTTAAGTATTTGGTCTTATGTGGCTCACACTGGCCATGGTCTTCATAAATACCTGAGAACTCCAAATCCCTCTGCCTTCACCTCTCTTCTGCTAAGATTACAAGTGTGTCCCATTGCTTTGTTTACATTGTGCCAGGGATCAAGTGGAGGGTTCATTCATGCTGGGCAAGCACTCTACCAACCACCATAACTGCCCAGCTCCACCCTGCTTTTTGAGACTGGGTCTTACTATGTTGTCCAAATTAGTGCCAAGTTCTTTATGCTCTCAAGTGAGCTTTAGGGAGACTTGGAGCCACACTTTCTTTTTTCTCTCTCTAACCTTAACATGTCACTTGAGTATTAATTCACACAGAGTTCACTCACACAAAGTACACTACTTTCATAATGTTATAATAATCTTTGATTCACTTGTTCACAGACACACGAATATATATATATATATATATATATATATATATATATATATATATATATATATATATATATATTATGGGGTGAATTTGGGTGTATTCTAATGTTTTTATGAAGATGGAATTGATACTGTATATTATTTGAATATGAAGAGATTCTTAAGTTTTAAAACTATCTTGAGAACCTGTGATGAAATGTAGTTTTGGAACTAAAGCATTCTTTTGTGCTTTAGGTTTTGGAGGATTTGTAGAAGAATTATACCAATGTACTTAACTGTATACACAATGAGTTTCAAAAGCAGAAGACTCTGCTGCAAAGAAAAATTACAGGTGGTTAAATATTGAATTGTAGAAACATGGAAGAGTACAAGTACCAAAATATTTTGTTTCCCTTAAAGACAACACTTCAAAAAGATTATTCTGGTGAGTTGAGGAAAACAAGAACCTGAGCTATATAATTTGCATTACCTTAGACATATGTCTTTGAAGTTTAACTGTATTTTATGCCATCTTTGATCATTAGCTTTATAAAATGTAGTACTTCTATTCCTGTAGACTTCCAAATAAAATTTCATCAGCTTTTTACCTGTGGGAGCAAATTTCTCTTACAATGTTAATTAACTTTTATGAATAAAGATTTTGTAGGGGAAGCATGGGATGGGGACACATGCCTTTAATCCCAGCACTTGGGAGACAGAGGCCAGTGTGAGTTCAAGGCCAGCCTGGTCTACAAAGCAGCAGTTGCCTAAGACCAACTGTAAACACAACTATTTACATTACAATTCATATCAGTAAGGTCCAGGACATTCATGGCTACATAGTGAAAGCTTGATTCGAAAGAGAACAACAAAATGTAGGTTTGGGATTTAGAATAAGTCCATTTGTTATCAATCACAAAGCACAAAGGATGAGGCAGTGGGACACTAGGCAACATCTTACCCCACCTCATATTGTCAAGTTTCCACTGGAGAAGATGAGCTAATCAAGACTTACTTATAGAACATAGGTAAGATGTTACTGACAGAAATGTTGGTGACAACAGGGGTGGCCACACAACCTGCTGTGTTGTTGTGTACAGGATTAGGGAAACACACAGGTACATGTAGAGCATAGACAACTCTGAACCTGACTCCACTCCAGCACACAGCTTCATTTACATGACAGGGTTTATGTCTCCTGACCCTAGTGCTCAGTCTCAGTTTTCAACTAAAAACTCAGGGACAATCCAGCTCAAAATGTGCTCTGGTGACTTAACGCATGTCCTGGTCCTGTTCTGTCCTGAACAGAAGGTTTGGATGGGCAATGGAAACTTAGACGCTGTCAATGTGTGAGTGATCCTTCTTAGGATTCCATGACACAACATCAAGCTTCAAAAGATGAAGGTCAGGAGACAGCAGTTGTAATGCAGGCTTGAGTTCAGAGGGAAAAGCAGGAAGCCAGTCCTCACAGGAAGACAGCTTGTTTTGGTTTTCAGTATCTTGGTTATTGAAAAATCTTTTGAATCTATGAACTATGAGTGGGAGTTATTTCATCCCTGCCAATCTCTCTAGCAGTTGGAGCATTTCTTTGTGTATCTGGGGCTGATTAAAGGACAAAAGCCAAATTTAAAGCCTTGGCATTTTTAGGATCCATTGGGTCAAGAGGGTGTAAATTTGGAAAGATTTCAGTAATTCCTTGAGAAGTGCCCCATAAAACTCTTCTGGGCTGTGAAGATCCTTAGTGGTCATAGAAAAAAATTGTGATTTTTCAAGATGCATCCTGAATTACAGACATAACAAAGCACTGAAAAGTGTCTAGGTTCTGAGAACCAGCATATATATTGCAATCCCAATCAGGGTGCTTGGATGGGAAAGTTGCCTCAAAAGTGAGTAGCTTTTCCGTATTCATACAGTGGCTGAGGCCAAAAAGCATTCCCTGACTCTGCTAATTATATAATCCCTTTCCTCTGAAGTAGATAGTCAGAAGGAGCAGCTGCCAAACATTCAGGTAGATCAGTGAGTACAGAGGACAGACTGTGAATCTAAAAACAGGAAGTCTCCCTTCCTTATTTACCAAGAAAGTAAGCAAGAACTGCTAATTGATGCACACATATATAAAACATATGGCTTTCTTGCTTTTATAGAAAAATCCATTGGTCTTAGAATCCAAAAACTCAAAAATATTTGATAAAAGCAATAAACATTTCTTCATCCTCAGTACTTCCAATCTTACTAATGCTAACTACCTCAAACCTAATTTCTATAATCAGCCTAACTAAATTAATTGACTTTCCACTTTACGTGATCAAATCTATAAAATACTCATTCTCAGTTTGATCCCACTAACACCGTTCATTTAGTCAAACACAGAACCCATAATTATCTCCTAACATTCAATAACTATAAACTCAATAAAACTAACAATTAGCTTCAAAATAGACCTATTCTCCATTCTATTTTTATCCGTAGCCCTATATATAACTTGATCAATCATAGAATTCTCCTCATGATATACACACTCAGACCCACAATTAAACTGTTTTGTTAAATATCTCCCATTATTCTTATAATTACTATAATTATCTTAACCTCAGCTAACAACCTATTCCGACTCTTCATTGGCTTAGAAGGAGTAGGAATTAAATCATTCCTACTTTATGGCTGATGATATGGATGAACCGATGCATACACCAGAGCCCTACAAGCAATATTGTACAATCGCGTTGGAGATGTAGGACTAATAATAGCAATGACATGATTCTGCCTAAACACAAAATCCTGAGAACTACAACAAACACCATCCCTAAAACATCCAGAAATTCTACCACTCCTAGGGCTTCTAATTGCAGTCACAGTTAAATCAGCTCAATTCTGATTACCCCCATGACTCCCATCAACCATAGAAGGTCCAACACCAGTTTCATCCCTACTCCACTCAAGCACATTAGTAGTAGCAAGGATTTTCCTACTAATCCGATTTTACCTCCTAACCTCAAATAATAACCTTATACTAACATTAATACTATGCCTAGGCTTCCTCACACTATTCACAGCCATCTGTGCAATAACCCAAAATGATATCAAAAAAATTGTAGCATTCTCCACATCAAGTCAACTAGGGTTAATAATAGTCACTTTAGGAATTAGCCAACCATTCCTAGCCTTCCTACATATTTGCAACCATGCTTTTTTCAAAGCTATACTATTCATGTATTCTGGATCAATCATTCACAGTCTAAATGACGAACAAGACATCTGAAAAATAGTTAATATTATAAACATACTCCCCTTTACCTTATCCTGTTTAACTGCTGGAAGCTTAGCATTAATTGGTATACCTTTTCTTACAGGATTCTACTCAAAAGATTTAATCATTGAAGCCATTAATTCATCCTACACCAATGCCTGAACCCTTCTAATAACACTGATTGCCACATCCATAACAGACATTTACAGCATAAGAATCATTTACTTTGTTACCATGACTAATCCATTATTTCCTTCACTTATCTATAAACAAAAACAACCCAAAACTCATCAACCCCATTAAGTGCCTAGCGTTAGGAAGTATCCTTAGCAGGGTTGATCATTTTCCATAATCTACCCCCATCCAACATTCAAATCCTTACAATACCCTGATATGCCAAATTTTCAGCCCTAATTGTTACAATCCTGGGATTAACTATAACATTTGAACTTAATAATTTTACTACCGACTTCTCAAACAAAAAAACCATCAAACCTTTCACTCTTCTCAAACCTACTAGGATATTTCCCAACAATCATACAGGGACTTACTCCTGTAAAAACACTCAATATAAGCTTTCACACAGCAACAAATCTCCTTGATTTAATTTGACTAGAAAAATTAATCCCAAAATTCATCTCCACTTATAACATACACCTGTCAAAAATTATAAGCAACCAAAAAGGCCTTATTAAAATTTATTTTTATCATTCCTAATTTCACATTATTCACATCTTACTTTTCATTTAATTTTCCCGAGTAATTTTAACAATATCAAAAACACCAACAAATAATGATCACCCAGCTACAATCATTAATCAAGCAACACAACTATACATAGCTGCTATCCCAATACACTCCTCACCAACAATACCCATTTCATCAACCCTATAAACCACTCAATTATCTATACCATAAATTTCTACTCCAAACTCAACCGTCATATAACTACCCATCACACAAATCACCGCTAACTCCATTAACAACCATAAAACCAAAGACAGTGAAAAACCTGGAAAAAAAAAAAAAAGAAGCAGATACATCCAAGAGGAGCAGACGGGTGGAAATAATCAAACTAAGGGCAGAAATCAATCAATTAGAAACAAATAAAACTATCCAAAGAATCAATGAAACAAAAAGCTGGTTCTTTGAGAAAATCAACAAGATAGACAAACCCTTAGCCAAACTAACTAAAAAGCAGAGAGAAACTATCCAAATCAACAAAATCAGAAATGAAAATGGGGACATAACTACAGACACTGAGGAAATCCAAACGATTATTAGGTCATACTACAAAAGCCTATATGCCACAAAATTTGAAAATCTAAATGAAATGGATAACTTTCTTGACAGATTCCATCTACCAAAATTAAGTCAAGATCAGGTAGAAAGACTGAATAGCCCTATATCTCCCAAGGAAATTGAAGCAGTCATTAACAGTCTCCCCTCCAAAAAAAGCCCTGGACCAGATGGCTTCAGTGCAGAATTCTACAAGACCTTCAAAGAAGTGCTAACACCAATTCTCCTCAAACTATTCCACAAAATAGAAACAGAAGGAACACTACCAAACTCATTCTATGAAGCCACAGTCACCTTGATACCTAAACCACACAAAGATCCAACAAAAAAAGAGAACTTCAGACCTATCTCTCTTATGAACATTGATGCAAAAATACTCAATAAAATACTTGCAAACAGAATCCAAAAACACATCAAAGATATCATCCACCATGACCAAGTAGGCTTCATCCCAGGCATGCAAGGGTGGTTCAACATACGGAAATCCATCAATGTAATCCACCACATAAACAAACTGAAGGAGAAAAACCACATGATCATCTCCTTAGATGCGGAAAAAGCATTTGACAAAGTCCAACACCCATTCATGTTTAAAGTCTTGGAGAGATCAGGGATACAAGGCACATACCTAAAGATAGTAAAGGCAATATACAGCAAGCCTATAGCCAACATCAAACTCAATAGAGAGAAACTTAAATCAATCCCACTGAAATCAGGGACAACACAAGGCTGCTGATTGTCTCCATATCTCTTCAACATAGTACTTGAAGTCCTAGCCAGAGCAATAAGACAACTAAAGGAGATCAAGGGGATACAAATCAGAAAGGAAGAGGTCAAAGTGTCACCATTTGCCGATGATATGATAGTATACATGAGCGACCCCAAAGATTCAACCAGAGAACTCCTTCAGCTGATAAACACCTTCAGCAAAGTGGCAGGATACAAAATCAACTCGAAAAAATCAGAAGCCCTCTTGTATACCAAAGACAAAAAGGCTGAGAAAGAAATTAGGGAAACAACACCCTTCACAATAGCCACTAATAACATAAAGTACTTTAGTGTGACTCTAACCAAGCAAGTGAAAGACCTGTTTGAGAAAAACTTCAAGTCTCTGAAGAAAGAAATCGAAGAAGATATCAGAAGATGGAAAGATCTCCCTTGCTCATGGATTGGTAGGATTAACATTGTGAAAATGGACATACTAACAAAAGCAATCTACTGATTCAATGCAATTCCCACCAAAATAACAACTCAATTCTTTACAGACCTTGAAAAAAAGATTCTCAGCTTCATATGGAGAAACAAAAAACCCAGAATCTCCAAAACGATCCTGTACAACAACAGATCATCTGGAGGTATCTCCATCCCCGATCTCAAGCTGTACTACAGGGCAACAGTAATAAAAACTGCCTGGTATTGGCATAGAAACAGAAAGGAGGATCAATGGAACCGCATAGAAGACCCAGAAATAAACCCACCCACCTATGAATACTCAATATTTGACAAAGAAGCCAAATCCATTCAATGGAAAAAAGACAGCATCTTCAACAAATGGTGCTGGAACAACTGGATGTCTACATGCAGAAAAATGAAAATAGATCCATATTTATCACCCTGCACAAAACTAAAGTCAAAGTGGATCAAGGACCTCAACATAAAACCAGATAATCTAAATCAGTTGGGAAAAAAAGTGGGGAACAGCTTAGAACTCATTGGCACAGGAGACAACTTCCTGAACAGAACACCAACAGCACTGGCTCTAAGAGCAACAATCAATAAATGGGACCTCATGAAACTGAAAAGCTTCTGTAAAGCAAAAGACCCTGTCATTAAAATAAATAGACAGCCTACAGATTGGGAAAGAATCTTCACCAACCCTTTATCTGACACAGGGCTAATATCCAGTATATATAAAGAACTAAAGAAGCAGAAAAGCAAGAAACCAAGTAATCCAATTAAAAAATGGGGAACAGAGCTAAACAGAGAATTCTCGAAAGAGGAACATCGAATGGCAGAGAAACACTTAAAGAAATGCTCAACCTCATTAGCCATTAGGGAAATGCAAATCAAAACGATCCTGAGATTTCACCTTACACCCATCAGAATGGCCAAGATGAAAAACTCAAGTGATAGCACATGCTGGAGAGGTTGTGGAGAAAAGGGAACCCTCCTCCATTGCTGGTGGGAATGTATACTGGTACAACCACTTTGGAAGCCAATCTGATGCTTTCTCAGACAACTAGGAGTAGTGCTACCTCAAGATACAGCTATACTACTCCTAGGTATATACCCAAAATTTGCTCAAGTACACAACAAGGACATTTGTTCAACCATGTTCGTAGCAGCTTTATTTGTAATAGCCAGAACTTGGAAACAACCCAGATGTCCATCAACGGAGGAATGGATACAGAAATTGTGGTATTTTTACACAATGGAATACTACTCAGCAATCAAAAAGGAGGAAATCATGAAATTTGCAGGCAAGTGATGGGATCTAAAAAAGATCATTCTCAGTGAAGTATCCCAGAAGGAGAAAGACAAACATGGTATATACTCGCTTATATAGACCTACAAGATATGAAAAACATAATGAAATCTACACACCTAAAGAAGATAATCAAGAAAGTGGACACAGGTGAAGATGATCAATCTTCATTTAGAAAGACAAATGGAATGTGCATTGAACGTATGACAGGAGTCTACCACAAAAGGCAGCTGAAAGACTCTACCTAGCAGTGTTTCAAAGCAGACACTAAGACTCATAACCAAACCATGGCAGAGTGCAGGGAATCATATGAAAGAAGGGGAGTTAGTATGATATGGAAAGGATAGGAGCTCTACAAGGACCAAATATATCCGGGCACAGGGACTTTTCTGAGACTGACACTCAACCAAGGACCATCTATAGATATAACCTAGAACTTCTGCTCGGATGTGGCCCGTGGTAGCTCAGTAACCAAGTAGTTTTCCAAAGTAAGGGGAACAAGGACTATTTCTAATAGGATCTCAAGGGCAAGCTCTTTGACACCCCCCCCCAAAGGGGAGGAGCAGTCCTGTTAGGCCACAGAGGAGGACTTTGCAGCCAGCCCTGAAGATACATGATAAAACAAGGTCAAATGAAAGGGGAGGAGGGGAGGAGGTCCTCCAATATCAGTGGACTTGGAAAGGGGCAGGGAGGAGACCAGGGAGAGAGTGTGGGGTTGGGGAGGGAATGAGGGAGCGGGATACAGCTGGGACACAGAGTTAACAAAATGTAACTAAAAAGAAAAATAAAATTAAAAAAAAGTTATTCAATCAGAACTTCAAGTCTCCAGATATTCCTCAGAAGCCATAGCAGTAGTATAACCAAAAACAGCCCTCAGACCTCCCAAGTAATTAAAAAAACAAAACAAAACAGCCAAACCTATAAAAGGTCCACCATAACCTAAAACAATTAGACAACCTAAACAACCACTAAGTACTAAAACTAACCCGCCATAAATAGGAGAAGGCTTCAAAGCCACCCCGATACAACCCATCAAAAACAATAAACTCAAAATAAATATATAATTAGTCATTATTCTTACATAGCATTAAACTATGACGAATGACATGAAAAATCATCGTTGTTATTCAACTATAAGAACACTAATGATAAATAACCGAAAAACTCACCCACTATTAAAAATAGTTAACCACTCATTCATTGACCTCCCCACCCCTCCCAACATTTCATCTTGATGAAACTTTGGATCATTACCAGGAATCTACTTAATTATCCAAATTGCCACAGGCCTATTTTTAGCCATACAATATACAGCAGACACAACAACATTCTCATCAGTATCACACATCGGCCGAGATGTAAACTAAGGATGATTAAT